CCCTGCACACACCCTCACCCCTGCACACGGCTCTCCTCCTGTACACACCCTCACCTCTGTACACTCCTGCACACGCCCTCACCCCTGCACACACCCTCACCCTTGCACACAGCTCTCCTCCTGTACACATCCTCACCCCTGCACACACCCTCACCCCTGCACACGGCTCTCCTCCTGTACATACCCTCACCTCTGTACACTCCTGCACACGCCCTCACCCCTGTACACACCCTCACCCTTGCACACAGCTCTCTTCCTGTACACATCCTCACCCCTGCACACACCCTCACCCCTGCACATGGCTCTCCTCCTGTACGCATCCTCACTTCTGCACACTCCTGAGCAAGCCCTCATTCCTGCACAAGCCTTCCCTCCTGAGTACATTCTCACTCCTGCACACAGCTCTGCCTTCTGAGCTGTCTTACAATGATGGGGAAAAAAAACAGACAGTTTCCAGTATTCTAGGGTGGTCTCAAACCTATTATATATAGCCAAGGATAACCTTGAATTTCTGATCATCCTGTCTCTACCTCCTGGGCTGGGGTTACAGGTGTTTACCATCCTGCCAAGTTTACAAGGTACCAGGGATTAAACCCAGGGCCCTGTGTATGGTATACAACCACTCTACAGCCTGAGCTATGTCCTTGCCCTTGCAATGTTTTTTGAATGTTTTTTTCTCATGAGGTGTGCCAAGGCAGACCTACTTCTGCAATGTTGGACTGTATGATAGTTCTTCATACCCAAGTACTCAATTGGACATCTTTTCCAATAAAGACAAAGTTACATACATGTTCCTGAGGTCCTCTCTATATTCTGTTACTATTAAATTTCCTCTTCAGTAAAGGAAAGAATATGGGTGAATGTTGCTATGTTTCTATTTTCCTTCATGGAGTCACAGAGGCTTCATGAGGACAATTGTGAGACTCTCTCAGTAGTCAGAGTATGGGGACAGAAGACATCTATGAAGATGGCCGACTGACACCAAAAACCCTGAGGCCTTAAGAACGGGGCGTTTAGGAAGAGCTTTTCATTAGAAATATCCACCTGTGTGTAGCATTTGATCACCCATGCATGCATGCGTCCACCCACCTGTCACCTTCCCATTCATGCTTGCACGCATTCACCAGTCTGCTCCTCCGTCTAAATAGCTAATTGTCATCCACCAGATAGCAAAGGAGTCTTTCACTGTTCCTCTCACTAGACACACACCAACACCAACAAACAGTAGCCCGGCACACCTGGACTGCTGCCTAGGGAGACAAACGCCTTTCAAATGCTTTCTTCACCTGCACATTGGGGATTCTAGTCTTTATCACGAAAGCAGTTAGAACAAAGATGGCAGCTATTAGGGACACACTCAGCAAAGCATCCAGACCTCAGCCGGTCTCCATTCACAGCTGCTGTGCTTCTCCTCAGAGCCCACTGCCTGGCCTACTTCCAATCAACGTAGCGTGTCTGCGCGGTCTTCAGTCACTAAGACGATGGCATTGGACGTCTTGGGCTCACCTATCCTTGAAGAGCAGAAGCTCCTTTCCCAGCATCGTCACGGCGTCGAAGGATGAGCTGGAGTCACAGAGGTCGGGGAGGGACGGCTTGTGAGGCGGGATATGGGGCATGGTGGGCTTTCCTGGGAATATCTTCCGGGGTCCTAGGATTCAAAGTGTAAAACAACGCCAGCAACTCAGAGCATGTCCACTTCTACTCTTGAGAACTCTAGAATATCATGAAGAAATGACTGCCAATGCCAGGCAGACCTGGGTTTGAATCTCAGCATCCCTACCTGTTAGTTGGGTGACATAAAAGAAGGAATTTAGCTTCCTAAAGCTTTGTTACATCAGTTGTAAGTTGGGAGTGCTACCTATGAATATCGTGTAAAGAAGCTGACGACTCCTGGAAAGCCAGTTTGCCTGTGGTCATGGACTTAGTGGCCTTGCACACAGGCAAGTACAATTTGTACACAGGCGGTACAATTTGGACTTAGTGCGTTATAAAAACAAAAGATGGCACAGAGTTGGTAGGAGGTTTTGACAGCCCATGTGAATATGGGAGGAGATTGGGCGGTATGGGAAGTGACTAGGGTCAAAAGGCATTGTATACGTATGTGAAATTCTCAGAGAATTAATGAAGAAGAAGTTGCTATTTTTTACTGTTATGCATAACCAAATGGTAGCTAAAGATGCCTTAAGATCCCTACTATCTTTAACCTTCAATGAAATTAGAGTTTATACAATCCTGTCATGAAAAGGACATAAATGACAAATGTAAGCAGGTATCATAGTCAATAGATTATCTATATGGTTGAGTGATAGAGTTATTAGCATCATTATTGCTATTTTTAGAGAGCTAAGACCCCTTATCTGTAAATGTCTGTCTCTGTGTGTTCGTATAGCATAAACTATAATCACCACCTTTCATCTTCCAGTACATAATATTTTGCTTTGGAAAATTAGGAAACGGACCATTTTCTTTGGCTTTTTAGAGCCAGGATACTCTGGAGGAAAGACAAGACAGCAATGCTTTCTCTGGTGCACACACTCTTTACAGGCAGATGTGGCTCTAGGTTCATCTCTGTCTAAGCAGCTAAGTCCTGGGAAATTGCACTTTCTCTAACCAGGGAGTAGGAGAAATGTTTGTCACTTTTAGGGTTAGAGGTAGTGAAGAAATCATACCGTATAGTGCTTGAATTCCTTTCACATCATCCTTGGGGAGGTGGAACCGATAGGGGTTCTGGTACTTGTAAGTTGGGTACATGAGTGCTGAGGGGTCTGTGGAGTGCCCCAGGCCTAGAGCATGGCCAAATTCGTGAGCGGCGACGGTGAATAAATTGAACCCTAAAGTGAGAGAGAAAGAGAGAGAGAGAGAGAGAGAGAGAGAGAGAGCATTAATACAGTTGTGTTTCCTTACTTTGTCTCCCAGGAGAATTTGTGCCACAGCACAGTTAGCTCTCCTTTCATAACGGGACTCAAAGGTGGGAGACTAGTCTAGCACTTGGCTTTCCTGTCTTTAATCTCTTTTGGTTTCTTCACCCTTTGGGGGAAAGGGGGCGGAGGGAAATGTAAAGCAATCCATTCTCCCATTGCCAGTGATGTGTGGTAGAGGGATAACAAAAGGTCTGGTAGCTAGTAGCGGTGCTGAAATTCCCCGTAGCACACAGCTTTGGATCCTAAGCCCTAAAGTCACTTCCTGCTATTACAACCTACCCCTTTTTATATTATAAATTGGTTATATGAAAAATCACTGAATAGAAATGGAATGTGGTACCATGCAATCAAATTATCTTCTGCTATAGGGAAATAGGGCTCACAGGCCAAGCTGAGTTCAGTTATAGGAAGGTTAGCTTCCAGCTCTAAAATGAGTCTGTCTCCACACAGCTCAGTAGTATACACATTTAACATTTCAGTCAGGGCTTGAGGAAGCTAGATTCACAGAGTCAAAATAATTTACCCATGGTTACAGTCAACAACTCGGTTGAGATTTTAATTTAATTGGCATCAAAGCAGGATTTCTAATGACTATACTAAAGTGTGTGGGGTGTACCAGCTTCTTCTTTCATCCTGGTTCACACTCAGATGACCTGCAAGGCATTCTGGGAACTTTACACCCCTCCCCCATCACACTCCTCCGGAGAGTACTAATTCGTTTCGTGGGGTCATTCTTAAAGACAGTTCATTTCCACATACAGGTAAAAACCATACGTCTTATACATCTGGATGAGAAGTAAGCTGTGCACTGGGATGGGATTGGCTCTGTGGATTAAATGCCAAGAAACAGAGAGCAGGCAAATCTATAGCATCATAGTGGGAGGGGCTTCCCCTGTAGGTTCCCTTCTGAATTTTTGGCTTACTTGTTTTTCCTACCCAGCCCCCTAGTTAAAGGGTAGCTTGGGACGTTGAACCTCAGGGTTTCATGATGGAGCCCAGAAGAAGGTACAATAGTTTCCAGGTTATGGTGAATTGTGCATATATACCGTTCATCCCCATAGTCCACTTCTCAGCATTGTCGAAGTGCGTGTCTCCTCCCAAGCCTTCTCCAGGTGCAAATGCATGGGCCAGAGTCCCTCGAGGCCCATCAAATGGGTAGGAATCCCCGTGATCTAAGTGGGAAGCATCAATCAGATCAAGGCATAGTAAATCTGGGGTGAGGGTGGCAGAAGGAGATTACCATTCTCAACAGCATTGGCCTTTAAATGCCCTTTTCAATATTTATCTTTGAAAGATCTTTTTAAAATTATGTGTGTACTCCCTGTGGGAGTATGTGCTCACACATGCAGTGCCTGAGGAGGCCAGAAGAGGGCGTGGGTTCCCCTGGAGCTGGAGTCGCAGCACACGTGCTCTTAACTGCCAAGTCATTTCTCTGTCATTAACATTCATTCTTAAGTATAGAAAAGGTCAAGGGTCGTGGAATTGAAAAATAGATTATTTTGTACTTCAAAGACACATTGCAAACAGGCAATCTTTGTGGTAATGGTTTTCATCACAACCCACAGCAAGAGGTAGATGGTCACACAACACAGATTATAGAACTGAGGGACATTTGATAGTAACCAGGCCTGCTGACTGATTACAATACAAACCTGTCAGCAGAAAGAACTTTCAAACTCCAATTCCTCTGGAGGGTTTTAGTAAACTGAAAGCGTGCTTTCTGTCTGTATGGCATAACATAATTTTAGTGCAAAAAATCAAAAGAAAATGTCTTTGTAGTTTTGATACCTGCACATGTAAAGTCTACGAAAGTAAAGGTGGTTGGGGGATCCTGGCACCCGCAGCCTTTGGCGCTCTGTTCTGCCATCTGCAGAGAGCAGCATCATGACTCGACAGAAACCTTCTGAAGAGTGGACAGATTGGACAGAGGCTACTGCGCTTGAATTCTCAGAACTTTGGTGACAGTGCTCGATTTTTTTGTTTACTTAAAAATTGGTATTTGTATTTCATTCGATTAATTTGCTAATTTTAAATGTATTTACTTTGTGTGTGAGAGAGAGTGGCTGTACTCACTGTTGTGTGGAGATCAGAGGACAATGAGCAGGTCCTCTCTCCCACCAGGCAGGTTTCTGGGATCCACCTGAGCTACCAGGCTTGACAGCAAGGGCTTTGCTGGCCCAGTCACCTCACTGGCCCTGTTTGTCATTTTTAAAGCCCCATCCCCAGATTCCGTATTCTATGTCTCAGGTCTCATTTGATGCAGTTCAATCAGGTCTGTGTGTTCTGAGAAGCTGATGGGAGACTGCCTGGTTTCTAGGCAGCCTTTGTGCTAGGAGACAGAAGACCAGCTTGAAAGACAGAGAATCGCAAATCGATTCCATGTGCCCTGACTCACAATGTCCTGCCATTTCACCAAGTGCTCTTGGATGCCTGGCAGGAACAGGACCTGCCAAGGGCTAGATTCCACTCAAGGCCATTGAATGGCTCTCTTGACCTCCTCTCCCTCCCTCCTAAGCACATTCCCTGTAGCAACATCAGACTGGAATAAGCTCAGGGCTCAGACCGTCTTGTAAGTGGAGGAGGGGAGAGTTTTAGGGGCATCCTGTTTCTTCGGTTTCCAACAAGGGTTTCTCTCTGTGAGAAAATGGAGTGGCAGACAGGTAGAGGCAAATTCGCATGCACTCCCCAAAAGTAGTATTTAAGCTGGGTGGGCCCTGAATTCTACCTCTGTAACTATTGCAGGAGGTGGTGACCACAGGGTCCCTGGGGAATTGACTTCCTTAGAGGTGACGCCAGCTAGGAGAATACTGGGCACTACGAAACCAGGTAATAGTGATAAACATTGTTATGGGAAACACTGGAGTCACCTGGCCCCCTAGTCAGTAGGCAAACTAAAGCTGATAGAACTGTCCTCTCCTGGGGTAGAGCCACAGTGGAAGTGTAGCTCAGGGAGTCTGCCCCACAGCACAGCCTACAAAAGTCAAACAGTGCTAAGACTGCTCTATCCTGCCTTCTGGCAAGATGCTCGTCTTTGTCTCTGCCTTTACCCGTCCCAGTGCTATGGGATGAAGCCCAGTGCTGATTAAGCCACAAGTCTGTCAAAGGAGCAAGTTTGGGGCAACAGAACCCAAGAAACAGTACAGTACCTCCAGTTTCAAAGGATATCATGATATCGGCTTCCCCAGAGCTTATCCTAATGAAGTTCAGAGGGACGGCGGTGCTCCAAGCACGCAGGGCCATCTCCACGGCCTTGTCCACCTCAGCAGGACTCATGGAAGGTGTGTACTTAGAGACTCTGGACAAAGGGAAAGCAGATATGTGTGCTTTAGTGACTGCTCCCAAACAGACAGGAGGAGGGACTGACCAGGCTGCTTACAGACCACAGGCCCGGGTATCCATGGCACAGTTATTTTTTTTTACCCTGAATCAGTAGTTCTTGCCCTGCTTTGTAACATCCCGGATTGTCTCTTGTCAAACAGCACACTACAGAGAGACCTAGAAAGAAGAGACAGCCAGCCCTGGACTTTTGAATGGTTAGTTCTCATTGTTATTTATTTGAGGGTTTGCTACCTCAATTCTTTATCAAAGGCCAGTGAAATTTCCCCAGGGTTGGGGAGTGGCCTATAAGTGTGTGTGTGTGTGTGTGTGTGTGTGTGTGTGTGTGTGTATGAGAGAGAGAGAGAGAGAGAGTCAGAGAGACAGAGACAAAGAGACAGAGACAGACAAGCAGACGGACAGACACAGGAGAGACAGAGAGACACAGCTTCTTTTAAAATATTTAAAATTAAAAAGGTTTGTTTTTATTGTATGTGTATTGGTGTTTTGCTTGCATGTATTGTCTGTGCACAATGTGTGCAATGCTCATGATGGCCAGCAGAGGGCATCAATTCCTCAGGAACTGGAGTTACAGAGGGTTGTGAGTAGCCTTGTGGGCACTGAGAATTGAACCTGGATCTTCTGCGGGTGCTTTTAATTGCTGAATCATCTCTCCAGCCCTGTGTGTGCTTTCCTTGAAAAGGATTTGTAGCCTAGAACAGAATGCTCACTGGGGTGAGCAGAGGCCCGAGCTCTTCAGGGAGACTCCAAGGGACTCCTAGGAGAGTATCAGGGAGACTCCAAGGGACCACCTAGGAGAGCACGGTGGTTTTCCTGGGTACAGGCGCAGAGTTGCTGGACCCCAGGGTTCCTTCTGCGCTTAAGCCCAGGGGTTGGGGTTCTGCCAGCAGTGAAAGAAGGGAGGGGGAGAATTTCACCTGGGACTCTGGACTGGGCTGGAATAATGCCTACAAAATGAGAAGGCAGATGCTCAGCAGCCGACTTTGGAGGTAGACCTGAGGCCAAACCCTTTTCTCTAGTTTTGACTCATGTCTAACACAGACAAACACATTTGCCAAATGCAGGTACTTGGCAAATGGAAGAACCAAGGCTGGCCGTTTAGGATATCCTGGGACTCTCAAACTTTAAGGTCCATGACAACGGTCTAGCGAGCTTGTTGAATGTACTGGTTTAGTTTTGAAATCTGTACGTTAGCAAGTATCTTACATCTTTCTCATGCAGATGATATGATCTGAGCTAGCATACAAGACCAAAATCCTAGGGTACTCAAAATAATGACCAAGAGAGAAGATGGAAAATTGCTCAGTTCTAGACCATTTAGTGATTTCAAAATACTCACACCCCTTTGTCATATAGACCTACGATTTAGGCCCAGGCTAGCCAATACCTCGTTATTCCCTCTTGATATAGGCAGAGCAACTGTATCCTCGAGTTGGTGGTGCAGCTGAGACAGCCAAGAGAAGGACGGGGAAAAGAATAACAGGAGAGAAAGGGAAGTGGAGAAAGTCCGAACTGGGGTCTACGGATTGGAAAACCAGGAGCTGATGGTATGAAGGCAGTGTTCTTTGAAGACGAACTCTGTGCCAGACAGGGCTCTCAGCACTTTTTAGCACGGTGTGTTATCTCGTTCTCTCAGGCCCAGGGCAGTCGTCATGATGATGATCAAGGCCTGCACTTTGTGGTTAGGGGAGCCCCGCCCGCCCCTGTCTGCTTTCCAGGCTTGTCCCAGGAGCTCTCTGTGTGCCTTCCTGCCATCCACGTGTATCAGCTATGTTAGTTATGAGATGTTATCCCGACACTCACAACTCTGCTGTTAACTGTGCATAGCAACAGCCTAAAATTCTAGGACACAGTTGAAAGAATTATGAAAAGATGTCATGAATTTATCTTTTTTTTTCTTTCTTTAAGAGCTTAAACTCTAGTTGTTTCTCAAACTGTGGGGAACTTTTCTCAGACCACCCCATTGCTTTGATTTCTTTGTCCTGAGCGGCACCTTGTGGACGGGGCGTCTAATAGCAGGTAACAAACGGCCCCACCAACTTTTCTTATGTAGGATCACCAGGTTTGTCAGAAAGGTTTAACAATTTCCTTCACCAGGGAACATATGACTCTGGCGAACACGGCTTGCTGGTTTCTGTATCGTAAATTATGCCCGACCATCAGGGATGCCACATTGGCAACAATCAATGGGTCTCTGTGGAGTGTGGAGATTAGTCAGGTAAAATAGACATGGGTAAGCTTGTGAATCTAGGTGGGGGCAAAACGGAAAAGTAGGAAGTAATATGTTCTGGTTAGCTTTGTTTTAAAATACACTCTAGTTGTAAAGTCACATAATTGTTCAGCAAGAAACCCAGGAAGCTCTTGGGAACATAGTGTTAAACCCCAGAATCCCTGCCATTGCAGCTGGCCCCTGGTGTAGGAAGGAAACTTCTCTTCTAACCTGCTGAAGTTTGCGGCAATGTAACTCTCCCCATCTCCAGGTCTCAACCAAGTGTGTCGATCCTGGCAATGTAACAGGATCCAGATCCTGGACCCCACAGAATCCAGATCCTGGCCTTCCCCAAAGCTAGCTCTTACTGTTCAGCTGCCTCCCCAGCCTCAGTTCTACCACTCCCTTGCCGTGCCCTCTCCTGCAGTTCAGAAGTGTACTTGGGCATTGGGACTGACAACACGACAGTCCATTTCACTCAGCTTGGTTGGTAGGTTCCTACAAAAATCTGGTGTAGAACCACCCAAAGCTATACCCACTAGGCCAAAGTGAGGCCCAAGCCCAACAGCCTCACCCACCTTCTTCAAACTCACTGAGGCCGAGGAGTGGGCACCCTAGGTGATGTACTTTAGACTGGGCTATCCTGTAAAGAGTGGATCAAGGAGGCTAGAGCAGGAAATTTGCTCTCTATACTGAGAGCCCAAGGAGGAGGAACCAAAGCTCCTGTTGGGCAGGCCTCCTCGGCCTAAACAGGAAGATGCCAGATGATGGGGCAGTGCCAGGCAGGCACCATGGGTAAATGGGACTTGAAGGTGCAGCTAGCTTCAAATCAGGGTCAGGAGTCACTTCTGTAAGACTGGCCGGCCTGACGGCTCCCATCTGCTGCCCCAGAGCCCGCTGAGGGCTGTGAGGACACTGCTTTCTCCCTGTTCATGTCTATCTCCCCACTAAAGACCAGAAAGGAGAAGGATGAGCTGTTCACCTTTGTATTCCACAGACTGGGCCTATAGTAGCCAAACTCATCAGCAAATGGTTTGTGGAATCAGTGAATGAATTTTATTAATGAGTCTTTGACAGTGTGTGTGTGGGAAAGGGTGGGTGAGGGCAGAGGCCAAACTTCAATGTTGTTTCTCACGAGACACCATCTTGTTTTTCTGAGGTGGTCTCTCATTTGGCTTCTAGTCTCACATTTGGTTTCTAGTCTCTCATTTGATTGAGCAGTCTAGCCCAGATGGCCAGATTAAAAGGTTATCAGTCCTACCCAAGGGCTACTTAACTTTAAACTGTTACTGAGCTAATCTTAGCTGCTCAGGTCTGCAATGGGAGAGATGGACAGCTATTCTGAGATTCGAATTTTCAAAAAAAAAAAAAAACAGCTGGAGAGTTTCTACTCTTTCTTATGGCTGTTGTGGGTTCTGCCTTCCACACAGATCAAAAGCAAGAGAGTTTGAGGGGAAAAAAGAAAAGAGTGAGGCGCGTCTTTCTCTTTGAATTGGGAAAGACTCAATCTCATTACCTGTATGTCAAAATATTTTTTTTCCATTTGGGTTCACCTGGGAAGAGGCGGTAGTTGGCCACATCAGGGACGCCGCAGCGGGGCCTCTTGATCACATTCATCGTAGTCGGGTCCAACTTCCCAGTGACTTGGAGGCCAAAGAAAGACTGCAGCTCCTTAATCTTCTTGACCATGGGGCTGCCTTGTTTCGCCACCATCTCACCGGCCTGGGGGCCTCCTTTGTGTGTGTAATACTTGTCAAGGTAGTCCTGAAAGGGAGAGCAGGCTGACACATCCACGGTACTCAGCTACGGCAGGGCGCAATAGTCCTCATATAAATAGGGCATGCATTCTTATTTTAAAAACTTAGACATATTGGCATAGATGAAACATGTTTGCCAAAACTTATTAATGATTACTTTTGAGTGCTGAGGCTTGTAGACCGTTATCCTCCCCTACAGTTTTTGGGTATGTGTGTGGTATACACATGTGTGTGCGGGCATACTTGCTTGTATGGGCTCATGTGGAAACCACAGGTTGATGTTGGTATGTCATTCTTAATCATGTAACGTAGAACATATAATGTGTAATGTGAAATAAGTATTCCCCCCCCCAAGAGACACAAAGAAGCCACTGTATGTATGGACTGGAGATCTTAACTAGTTTTGGTGGGTTGTGGGTGACCTTTCTTTTTATAGGGTGGTTTCCTGAAACAGGTTCACTACCCTCTGAGGCAAGAAAACGAGCCATGATGTTCCTTGAGCGTCATATGCAACATTATGGAGCAGGGGTCGGAAGACTGGAGGAGACAGAGTCTGAGGAGGAGTAAGGTACAACAGTGTCCTCTGGAAGTGAGGGACCCCTGCTTGTGACAGCTGTGACTACACAGAACCAAGCCATCAACACTCCAGCAGGGACACAGGAGCAACACCCGAGTCCCGTGACAGCTGCCGAGAGAAAGGGGTCACTTTCCTTAGAGGCGAGCCTCTTTGTAGGCTGGCGTATTCCAGTGGTGGCCCACGCCTCTGTGCACATGAGCAGTCCCAGCTGGACTTGGGGGGTAACAAAAAGGAGAGAGAGAGAAAAAAAAAAAAAAACAGGGCATGAAATTGGGAGGGAGCTTGGGAAGAATCCATGAGTTCAGGAGGAGCAGTGATGAATATGATCAAAATACATCACACATATGTATGAAATCCTCAAAGAGTAAAAAAAAAAACATTAGCCCCTCCCTGCATGACCAAGTTTCGCCTGCACATAGACTTCAGGCCCCTTCGGATACCTTGGTCACCCTGCTGTGTGGATGTTCAGCTGGGAGCAGGGTGACCTGAACTGCACAGGACTGTACAAACGCAGGGTGGGGGCCCATATTTGGTTCAGGAATTTTCCCTGACCAATGTGGCCAGAGAGCTAGACATTCTACATTTACTTTAGTTGATTATTTATTGTATGCAAATTTTTATATTTTATAAATTTATAAAAATTCCATAAATAAATAAAAACATTTATCTCTACATTAATCATAGATTTAATTATTTATAAATTATGCCAAGTATACTAACATATAAAGAATATATTTAAATGCTGCAAGCAAATGGGATGCGTTTGTTTTTAGGGCATGAACCCAGAGTCACTGGTGTGCTGTGCAAGTGCCCTACTGCTGGGCCACATCCCAGCCCAACAGGCGATTAGTTAGAAAGATTCTCATATATCCATGTGACACAAAACTAAGTCAACAACAAGATCATATCTTTAAAAAATATTTACTGGCATAGAGAATGTTCTCAATGGAACAGTAACACACAGTGAAAGGGAAGAGAAATCTGTGTCGGATTCAGGAAGTTTCAAAAGTAAAGAGCGTAGGGAAGCAGCGAGGCCTGAGCACCAGTGCTGTTGTCTGTGCCTGGGGCAACTGCGGGGCAACTCTGTCTTTCCCTTTCTGTGGTGAAGGTGGCTGTTGTTAGAGCTCGTGTCCCATTTCCTCACTCCCGCCCCCAGAGGAGGTGGGGAACAACCCTTGGGAGTTTGGTTAAGGAGCTAGAGGGACGGTTCAACAGCTAGAGTGTTGCTGATGCTCTTCCAGAGGACCCAAGCTTGGTTCCTGGCACCCAGTTTGGGTGGTTCCCAACTGTCTGTAGCGCCAGCTCCAGGAGACCCGACTTTCTCTTTGGGCCTTTGTGAGCACACACATGTGTGGCTTATGTTCATTCAAACACATACACACAAATAAAAATAGATCTGAAATATTTTTTTAAAAATTTTAGGCCTTGAGGCTGGAGAAATGGCTCAGAGGTTAAGAGCGTTGCCTGATCTCCCAAAGGTCCTGAGTTCAATTCCCAGCAACCACATGATGGCTCACAACCATCTGTAATGAGGTCTGGTGTCCTCTTCTGGCCAGCAGGCATACACACAGACAGAATATTGTATACATACTAAATAAATAAATAAAAATATATAAAAAAAAATTTTAGGCCTTTCAACTTGGATGAGAAACACTGACACTCAGGGGGATTCTGATTCGGGCTCTATCTGTGCTCGGGGCTTTTATGTTTTTCTTCTCTTTTTCTCTTCCTTTTTGAGGATGAAGCTGCACTGAGGACTTCTGGTTTGTGATAGCTGGAAGTGATGTCTCAGTTACGCTGCTTGGAGAACAGGGAACTGTGTCTCATACCTGACACTCAGTATTTCTGCGATGGTTTCAGTTTCAAAGATTTCTTCCCTCCCCTTTGTTTGAGAATGTGTTATACTCGACATTCTGATGTTTGCTTTATGAGATGTGATCTTAGAAGGGGAGTATTTATGGTAAATTTGGCAAAACCTGCATTTACTGCTGTTAAAGGGCCATTGTCACAAACAAGGACACAGGGACCAGTGACAGGTCACTAAAGACTCAACAGTCAAGAGAAATAACACATCTGTACAAACACTGGGCTACCCCCTAAAACCAATGCCAAAAAGTCCTTAAAACCCCTGAATATTTTACATGCTAGCAGGATCATCTGGGGAAGGGGTAAAGGGAGCCCTGGGACTCCCACCCCAGCATAGGAGGGGAGCCAGTGTTCTTAGAGGTGTGGTCCCTGGCCAGTTGCCTCCAGGATGGCCCCATACCTGGAAAGGTATGTGATGTGGGATTCTCTTCTGCATGCTGCGAATACCATCAGTGAATAAAGAAACTGCCTTGGCCTGTTGATAGGGTAGAACTTAGCTAGGTAGGAAAAACTAAACTGAATGCTGGGAGAAGGAAGACAAAGTAGAGAGAAGCAACGTAGCCCCCCTGGAGTCAGACGGAACTTTACCTGGTAGGCCACAGCCACGCGGCAATACGCAGATTACTAGAAATGGACCAAGCAGTGATTTAATTAATACAGTCTCTGTGTGATTATTTTGGGTCTGAGCTGCCGAGCTGTCAGGAACAAGTGACCCCCCTTCAGCAGGTATGGGCAGTGATTCAGAGGGCCATTTTTAAAAAAAGAGAAAGTATGAGGTTGGGGTGGGGAATGTTGACAGGATCTGGGAGGATTTGGAGGGTGGGATGAAGGCGGTTGAAATATATTGTTTGCATGTATGAAATTCTCAAAGAATAAATAGAAAGTTAAAAACCCCCAAACCTCAAAACCAAGAGCAGGCCCATGCTTGCCTTGGCCACAGCCTCACCCTCAGTAACGGCGAGTTGATTTTAAAGCTACAGACTAAAGGATTAGCAGTGTCTACAAGCTGCTGATGGAACTCGGAGAATCTCTTTATTTTTGATTGTGGTTTTTATGTTTTCTCCTATGAGTTTACACAATGCTTGTAATGTTTTTCTTTTCCTTTAAAATTTCCGCAGGTTGCCAAACCTATAGCTTTAAAAGTTTAAGGCCGAACTTAAGAGATGAGATCAGAGCAGTCAGTTTTAATGAAATAAACTCAGACGTTATTCCTACTTAATAAAAGAGCAAAGCCATGTCACTGCACTGACATTAAGGACGTGGTGACTTGGTGATTCCTGAGGCAATGCATTAGGAAGGGCCGCTATGGAGGACTCTCATTCGTTCTAAGTTAGGATGGGGCTGGTGCTGTGGGGACTTTCTCGCCAGAGTTGTTGACAAGGCTTTGGCATTCTTTCTGCAGTCAAGATGTTTCATTTGGCACTTAGAGGTACACTTGGCACTGTCCCATTTTCTAGGCCACCACTTTGATGCTGTCCTTTGGCCGGTCACAGGTTTCCAGGCTGGCTGGTGTCCCCCCACCTTCTGCACCGCCCACGCGGTCCAAACCACTAAGTCTCAGCACTCACTCCAACTGTCCTCTGCCTGCTTCTTGTCTAGTGTTTGACAAAGAAAAGTAGCCGAGGCTAAGCGGGTCTGTTTCTGTGGGCTCCCTGCCAACATCTCAGGACTCAAGTCACTGGTTTGAGGACCGGCCAGAGTATGCTTTCTTCAGCATTCCCCTATCTCTCAGAGTCATCGAAATAGGTTTGTAAGGACTTCGACGCAATCTGAATGCGGGCTGTACAGAACAGGTCAGGGCAATTATTTGAATTTCTCCCACTTTAGCTTTCTGGCCAGCTTCAGCGTTCCTAACTGTCTTATCTACTGAGCTTGCCTGTGAGACGGCACCAATGTTTCTTTACCATGTGGATGTTGAGAGCAGAAGTCTGCCATCTCTTTAGACCCTATTTGTAACTCTTTAAAGTTATGAAAATAGTTTAAAAGCCAAAATGTTTTTATGGTATAATATTCAGCAAGAAAGGTAGAAGCCAAAATTTAAAGAAAATAGCAATTAGAAAAATCTTTATCACAGAAAAGAAAGTGGTACAAATGGTTCCAGAATCTAGGATCCTCTTTTGGGTGGTTTAATTTTTCATAAGCATGTTGTAAGTACTGTCTTTAGAGACCCTCTAGAAGCTTGTTTTAGACGTCATGTCAACAGCACCAGGTAGTTCCCACGGTCCAATAGGCTGGGCTACTGGGTTTCGACTCCATGAAGGTGCGAGGGTGATATGCCATCTCATACAAACCGCACTTCAAAGTTTCCCTCTTGGTCTTTCTCTAGACTGGAAGTGCGGGGTGCGGCTCTCTCTCTGGATCCGGAACCTCAGCCATGACCACAGCTCGCAGCCACTCGGTAGCAAGGCCGATGCCGGCTAACCGCAGTGTGCTGTGCTCGCACACAAGAGCTTTGGGTAAGCTGTGGGACCTACGGTGAGGTTATCAAGACACAGCACCACTCTACCCCAAGAAACATCTACACTGTTTGAAACGGCAAGCTAAGAAGTAGTCATTCTCCCGTGCTTCCTCCCCACCGTGTGGGGAGTGGACGAAGGACCTCAGGCCTGGTAGGCAAATGCTCGACTACTGAGCTCTCTCCCGAGCCCCGCCCATATTCATCTGCGACCCCATCCTGCCATTTCAAAGCCCTAAGGCAGATGAACAAGCCGGACTCAGGGATTTATAAATAAATGGAGTAAGGACTGTTTAAGTTCTCAAGTGCGGATGCTTATCTGTGGGTTTGGGGACGCAGATATCTGGGCTGTTGTTTCGTAGCTGGTCTGCTGATGTTTTCCAAGGTCTCTGAGCTCCAGCTACACAGTGATTACGCCCCACACTCCCCTACACTGGACTCCTGCACTTAAGGATGCTTTTGCCAGCTTGCCCTGTCGCCAGGATTTTCCAGGACAAGCTCATTCTACAGCTGAGGTTCATCCCAGATGCGGCTATCTGAGAGGTTCCCTGGATGGCCCACAGTCCCAGTCAGCCAGTCTCTTTCCAGCCTCTCTTCCTACTTTCTGAAATAAGCTTGTGCGCTTGAGAGACACGATTGCTTTCTCGCTGTACCCTCCCTCCGGGCCCACCATCCTCCTGTCAGCACCGTGAGAGAAGGGACAGACTTGTCTTCTCAGCCGTGCTTCGCGGCTCATACTGCCCAGAGGCCATCAGTAACAATAGACCCTGCTTCTTTGCATTTGGGCTTCTAAAAGCTCACAAGGCTGGTGGATATTTCCATAAGTTACAAGATTGTATATAAATTGTTTCTAGTTTCTGGGCTTAGCATGAGAGATCTGTCCTCATCTTTGTGGACTCTCAAAGAAAATGCTCATTCCAGAGCGGGTGCCTGGGCCCGCTGCAGCAGGAACACCTGTGTGCCGGATGACAAGGTACCAAGGGCACAACAGAGACTTAGAGAATGAAGTAAGAGTCTCCTAACAGACTTCAACACCTCAGTCACACCATTCTTTTGAAGTGTGTCCCCACCCCACAGATGACCAGACTAACCAAGACTTTCTGACCTGAGTCCTACTTAAAGTGGGGCCACCTTATTTCCTCTGTAAAGAGCTGCTTTTTGGTTCTGCAGACCACAGTCAACCATTATAGGACAACAGTCTGTAATCTATTGGTCTGGCCAGGGTTGGCTGGTAGAATGACATTTACCCAAGCCCAGAACTAACATCAGAACCCCCATTGGCTCAGATCTATTCTGGTAGAGCACCACCAGCTGTGTGTGTTAGGAGGTGGGTACCATAAAAGCTTTGTAGTTTCTGAGTTAGAGAAGCTTGGATCTGGAGGGGGAATTACATTTGGAGGAAAAGGACCAGGAAAACACAATTTAAAATTTTAGTACATGGAGCTACTTTGAATTGAGTTCATCAAACATGGGCTCTAGAGAAAGAAAGTTCAGCTCAAGTGGGCGTCTACTCTCGATATTGCCATGTTCTGGGAGGAGGGGTGTCTACTCTCGAGCTGAACTTGCTTATTCATACACAGGGCTGTTACTGCAAACGTTCCCTGAATTCTCCCGTGTTGTAAGAGAAACTGATCAACTAGAATGGGTGACTGTCAAACAATTGGTAGGGACAGTCGAGGGTGTGTAGGTGACAGATGCCTAGCCCTTAGCCGGACCGGATAGTGGCCCCCAGACAGAGATGGAATCGCATGCATGCTGTACTTTCATCAGACTCCCAGAGAGACCCAGACACAATCTACAAACACCTTCCACTGCAGCTGGTAATTCCGTCATCAGAGGTCTGGTCCTGCAGGTTAAGGATCACTCTTCTCCATTAACTGGCTTCTCTGCATCTGGGATGATTTCCAGTCATGAAATCTTTACAAAATTCTAATTGTTTGTATCCAATCCTTCCCACCACAGTCAGTTCCTTCATAGTCCAATCAGGCGCAAGAGGCCACAAGGGGGAAAGGGAAGTTGAGGTAAGGGTTGTGGAGAGACACAGCTTAGGGAGAAAAGACCCTCTGATGAGAAGGAAGCTTGGTCTGTCTTAAATTCTGACTAATGTTACCTGGAGCACAAAAGTCATTTTTTTTCAAAATGCAAACCTAAGAAAATTTTCCCATGTGGATGCTAAGCACTCAACATTAAATTCACAGCCTTGTTTTTGAATTTTGTATGTTGTACAACTCCACTCAAATTCTGTATAATTCTGTGTAATCTACACAGATAATTTACTCAGACATTAATTCATCCATGTAACACACACACTTAAGAGCACCAGGAACGGATTTTAGATGGTGTGGTTCATCAGGCTTCTGTGGACAATAAGATGATCTTTAACATTAATAGATTTTTGTTGACTTTCTCATATGCCCTGTTGGGTGTTCTGGGTTAGGAGAAGGATGAGGGATGGGGCGGAGAGTCACAAACCTGTGCGAGGTGGTAGCTGCTCCTGAAGGTCCTAGGGGTGGCTGCAGATAGGGTGGGGACTGCAGTGGCAAACTTTAAAGCTGTGACAAGGACAGCAAGGCCAGAGGCAGGTAGCACCTTCATTTCCTCTCAGTCTCGTGGTAAATATGTCAGCCCAGGGGGTGGCAGACAGTGCACCCCTGCCCCTGAACCTGCGCTCCTTTTATAGAGTCGCACAGGTCTGGGCCTTGCAAGTGATGATTCATGTCTCAAATGGTAATTACACAGATCGTGTTCTCTCTCTGATGATGGGGTAACAGCCCTGCACAGGGTCAGGGAAGGCTTTATTCCTGTGACTGACCTAGTCACAAAGGAGAGAAATGGTCACATTTTAATGAAGCTCATTAGTTATGTGCACAAATTGGGATGAGCTTGATTGATCTGAATCCCACCCAACAGAACCATTTGGTTAGTCCTGCTTTCAGATCCTTCTTCCATTCTTATTACAGAAAAGGTAGGGGCCCATGGCTCTCTACTGAGCCTTTACTTGTGGCTGCTGGCAGGCCTAATGACCTGGGTCCCAGGGACCCACATGGCAGAAGCAGAGAAATGGCTCTTCCAAGTGATCCTCTGGATTCTGTATGCATGTCATGGCACCTTCTGCATGCCCCTCTACTGAATACATACATAAAATAAATAAACGCAATTTTGAAAATGAAAAAGTTAAATGGTCAAAATGTATTTGGATTATAATACAATAGAGTTGTCTACACATGGAAGCCAGCCTCCAGCATCCTGTATCTGCATTTCCCACAATGTTTCTCAGGAAAGAGTGATACTGTGGTGGCTCCTGCAGCTGATGGTGGTTCTAAGACACACAAGGTCTCGAGTCGTCAAGGCAACTATACATTAAATCATGGTACCATAGCTAACCGAAGACTTTGCGATGAGATAACCCCAGAGTGTTGTCAAATACGAATTTAAGACGTGTTGCATCTGCTTATGCTGTGGAACATTTGTTTAATGATGTATAGGTGTGTTGCATTCTTTTATACTGCATTTGTTTAACTTTGTGAAACTGTGTTACTTTGCCTGCCTAAATCACGTGATTAGTCTAATAGAGAACTGAATGGCCAATAACTAGGCAGGAGAGGAAAAGAGGCGGGGCTGGCAAGCAGAGAGAATAAATAGGAGGAGAAATCTGGGAAGGGAAAACCGAGGAATAAGAAAAGAGAGAGAGAGGACTTCAGGGGCCAGCAGTCCAGCTACACAGCAGGTCCCAGAGTGAGAAGTGGAGAAAGGTCTAAGCCTGGAGTCAGCTGGCTAGAAATAAGCTGAGCTAAGGCTGGGTGCTCATAAGAAAGAATAAGATTCCATGTATTTATTTGGGAGGTAGGTGGCGGACTCCCAAGGCGCCAAAGAGCTGAAAGAATAAAAGCTACACCAGAGTTATGTCTGTTGACCAAAATATTAGACAAAACCTGCCATTTTCAGTGTATCCTGG